ATATTATTGCTGGTAGTGGTGGATGTTGCTGTCGACTTTTCTTTTTTAGCAGGTTCTGTGGTAAGTGTTGATGGCTTTTCACTAATGGAGCTAGTTGTTAATGTACTGACGTTGATGTAGTTGATTTTTAACTGTTGCTGAATGACATCGATTGATTGAATTATTGCTTCTTCCTCCCCCCTGCAAAGGAGAAGTTGTTGTTCTAGTGCTGCACTCTTTTCCTGCTTCTGCTTTAGTTGATTGATGAGGGTTTTTATGAATCCTTCCATTCTCGAGTCAGTGTGTCTGTGAATGGATTGTTGCTGGACTTGATATACTTCAGATAAGGATTGTAGTAATGGAGTTGTTTCTGCCACCTGATTAATCTTCCTTTGTTGAAATCTGCCTGAAGCTTGTACCTCCAAAAACCTGTTACATATTTAGAGTCGGTTTGAAGTTCAAACCTTGTAGATAATAATTCAAGCTTCCATTTTTTCAATGTTCTGAGACAGGCTAGTGTCTCTAATTCGTGGATCGGATAGTTCTGTTCAGTGGTGGTAAATGTTCCAGAAATATATTTATATAATTTCTTAGAATATTTATCACTGTTGAAAGGAACTGATGATTGAGAACTTGAAAGTTCAATAATATTGTCCGAAGACTGATAATCTTTAGGCTTTTGGCCAGAGACAGTAGCCTCATTATTGTCTATTTTGACATTACCAAAATTGTCCATTTGTAATAATTCCTTGTCATTTTGTATTGCTAACATACACCCTGCCCAAGTGTCCTTAGATGCATCCGTTTGAATTATTAGAAAATCGTTTTCACAAGGGTTATATAATTTTGGTAAATGCTGACATTTTTCCTTCATTAATAAAACTATTTTTGTATCTTGATCATTCCATGACAAAGGGATTTTGTCAGAAATATTTTTCTGTAAATGTTTTCTTTCTTTTGCTAAATCTTTTAAAAATCCTTGTTCGCTGATATAATTTAAGCATCCAAGAAAACGTTGAATTTGTTTTCTATTTTCAAGTTGGTTTGGGAATTTATCGATTTTTTCTTTAGTGTTTGGTGACAACTCAATTTCGCCAAAATTATTAATCTTCGTACCAAGATATTCAATTTCTCTTTGAAGAAGTTTTGATTTCTTCTTAGAGATAATTAGACCTTTTTCTTTTATTCTTTGTAAAACTATCAAGATCTTTTCACGATGATCTTCTTCTGATTGATTTGTGAAAATGATAATATCATCAATGTACGCTAAACAGAACGATTGGAAACCCTCTAAGACATGATCCATAAACCGTTGGTAAATAGCTGGTGCTTGTTTCATTCCAAATGGGAGAACATTCCATTCGTAATGTTTTTGTGGTGGACATGAAAAGGCTGTTAAAGGTTTGGTATTCTCATGTAGACGAAGTTGCCAATATCCAGATATAGCATCTAAACTACTAAACCACGTTTGACCTTTTAATCTTTCTAATATATAGTCTTTCCTAGGTAGTTTATAGCTATCTCCTATTGTTTGTTCGTTTAGTTTTTTATAGTTTATTACCATTCTTCTTTTTCCTCTTTTGATTGCATTATTATTTTCTACATAAAAGACTGGTGCACTGTGAGGACTTTTACTTTCTCGTATTATACCTTTTTCAGCTAACTCTGAACATTCCTTTTGGAATTCTTCTACATCTCGTTGAGTATATTGCATTTTGTTAGGGACATTACCTTCCATTTTAGGATCTTTTAGTTTAATTTCGATAAGTTCTTGATTGATATTTTTATCTTTATCTAAAGGATGTTCACTACACACCTGGTCTAAAGTATCCTCTAGAATGCTATAGGTAATCTGTATATATTCTAGTCTATTTTTGAGGTTTTGAAATACAATTTTTAGCACTTCATTTTTTGTGATTATTTTGGTTGTGATTATCTTAGATTCCTGGTCTATTGTTTTAGGACATCTAAGGCTGATTGTTTTAATCCTTTGGATAAATGGTTGATATAATTTTAGAAAGTTATTTTCTATTATTATATCTAGTCCTGAGTCATGTTGATAGATTGTTTTAGCTGTGAAGATATGTTTTTCAATGATTATTGGTACATATTGTTTACATACCAGATTTCATGGATAGATTTGTCTGCCACTATAATTTTTAAAAGTTTTTCAAGTTTATCCCATTTTTTTATGGTTGATTTTTTGGCAAAACATAAGGTTGCCCCTGTATCAATGTATGCTAAGAAGTTTTTCTTCTCTATTTCAATTTTAATAAATGTTGCGTTAGGATTGCCCTTAGTTAATACTTTCTTCTGACTCATCTGAAGAGGTTTCTGAGGTTGAAATATATTCAATAATTTCTATATCGGAAAGTTCAAAATCTGTTTCTTCGATTGGTTCAAAACCACAATCGTAAGCTAATCTAAGGACTTCTTGTTTTCTAGTGTTAGTATTTTTCTTAGGACATTTATTTGCGTAATGTCCTTCTTCGTTACATAACCAACATCTACAATTCGTTTTTCCCTTAGGACAGTATTCTTGTTGTCTTGATTTTTGTTTAAACTATTTTCTATTTCTGAAATATTTATTTGGTTTTTTGAACCTATTTTTTTATATATTCTTTATAAGGTATTTTTCTCCATTTTTTATAATTTCTATATTTTTTTCGAGTTTTAATGATCTTACGATCATCATTACACCCATACTTTCCAACTCTGGCCATTGTTTGTTCACAACAGAGTTTAATTTTAGCTTGCTTCTTTAGTTTTTCCTTATTAGAAGCTCGTTTATGTCATTCTTGTAAAACTAATATTCTTCTTCCTAATGTATCTGGTATTTCTTCTTTTGTCAAAGATTCATTAAAGATAGCTTCGACTTTTTCAGAGACATTAGGTGGTAATTTAGCATAGAGTAATTTATCTAGCTCTTTTCTTATCAAAGGGGTGACTTGATAATAGTGTGTTCTGAATTCACAAATAAATGGTTCTAAAAAGCACATGTTGCAGATTCTAAGATTAGTTAAATGCCAAATAGCTTGTTGACTTACAGTTATGTTTGGTTTATCTTCTCGAGGATGTCGTCCTAAGAATTCATGAGTTATTGCATTTAAGACTTTTTCAAAGGTATTAGTCGCATCCGTTATTCCATATAACATTGTCCTAGTAGGAATATCCATGTTGTTAAGATAATGATAGACTGCCCCAGTTGTTTTATATATTAAGAAATTAAACATTTCATTAGGATGTAATTTCTTTAGATCTTCATTAGTTTGTATTAGTAATCATGTTCGATTTTTCCAGTCTTCTAATTCTTTTAATGGATTGACGCAACAATCAAGATATAATATATCAGGACTGTTAAAACTAGTGGTGGAATATTTTGGTATGTAAGATTGAGGTATTTTACTCCATCCTCCCCCTTTGCGAGCTGTATACGAATTTTTATATAAGTATTCATCAAAAAATAGTTGACCATCTTTATAGTCATTAAAATCGCGCTTCCGTGATGTTTCAGCTTGATCTTCAGTTTCAGTTTTCGTGTAATTTGAATTTGTGTAATTTTTATAGGGGTTTTCGTCGCTACTATAGTCAAGAACTATTTTATCATTTTCTATATTTTCTTCTATCTCTGGTTCTGATTCAATAGTAATTGCGGCTAGTAAATCATTTAATTTATTAATTTGTTCGTCAATACTAGTCATAGAAGTTTGTAGGGTGCCATGATAGTTAATGGGCTAGATTTTCCTGATTTATGCTCATTCAAATATTCTTTTATATCTTCAATTGTAATGCTCCTTTTATTATCTAATTTAGTTATTATTTTTTGAAGTTTAATAATGATTTCCTTAAGATCTTCTACCGGTAATACTATTTCCTTAGAATTTGGAGTTGTTTTTCCCATTGCTATTTCTCTTTGTTTTATATCCGCTATTATTTTGGTAATTGTATCCTTAGCGAATTCTAAATCTGAATATATATCCTTTTGCTTTTCATTACCTTGATGTTCTAATATTGATCTTAATTGTTTATTATTGTCTTCTATTATATTTATCAGATTTTCTTGATATTCATCTATTTTTCTTCCTAATTTTTCTAGTTTTATCGAAATATTTTCAGTAGCCATAATTTTGTCTATAAGCTGGATACTAGTTCAGCCATTTCAGATATGAGTTAGTTTCTAGTTTTATCGAAATATTTTCAATAGCCATAATTTTGTCTATAAGCCGGATACTAGTTTAGCCATTTCAGATATGAGTAGTATCTGCTAACAAAATGGCTTGTTAGCATTTTAACTTTTGCGTCCTTATTCTAAGGAGTAAAACTATTGCAACATTCCCCTTCAACTTCTCCAAATTCCTCTAGGCCTGGATCCCCTGGAATGTTACCACAAGCAAATTCTGTCTCACTTGATTCGAAAACACATTTTGTAGAAGATTGTAACAGTTACTCATGTGAAGTCTGAACTTTAACTTGCATATCTCTTTACCAAGGCACTAAGCGTCCATAGACTTCACTTTCTCCTTCTCAAGCCGGGAGTTTCAAACATTAAGAAGCATAAAACGAAAAATGAAGAGGCATAGATGCGATGCGATGCAAGCGAATTCTATCAAACCTCTAATACCCTGGTAAGATGGATGAGCTTGGAAGTAAAATATGGTTTAACAAAGACTGGTCGAGGAATTCAAACAGGTAAAATCAGGAGGAAGCAATCAAACAATTCCAACGTTGCTTCACTGGCCTATAAGAGTGACATTTAGTTTTACCATATCATCCAAACGCCAAGAGCTACTACGAGTTTACAGCCTTCCCTCTTCAAACTTTCTTACATGGCCGATCATCTAGTTCCTTGCTCCCCCTTTTCCAATTCCACCTTCTTCTCCTTCTTCAATAATGAACTGAAAAACCCCTCAACTTTTGAGTTCGCTTGCAGTCTTGGACTTCATAGGGGAAAAAAGCAGCGCGGGGCATTCTTAAACATTCATCTAAAGCCCATCACCCACGGTAGATCAAGGCTATTATCATCATACTTTGGTGCCTAGGAAGGACTGCAAGCAAGGATGGCAATGATAAATAATGATAACAAATATGCACTTTTAACATGACTGACAATTGAGTAACAAAGCAGCTTGAAAGAGCAAGTCAAGATTGAAAAACAGGAAAACCACATGGCAATACAAGTCATGCAAAGAAGAAATACCACCCATATGGATGCTGGATTTTGAACAATGCAGTTTCACCAAAATCTATTTATCAACCTGAATTGAATCATTCATTTCAATGCTGGATTTTGGACAATGCATATGGAATGAAATCTATCAGACACTTGTTCGACCAGTATAGATTTCTCGATTTATCACATATGGATTTGTGAATCAACCATAATATCCCTAATGGATTCTAAAATCTAACATTGTGGCCCAACAACAGAAATTCCGTTCCCTGAATTCATCATCACTGCAATATAACATGTTGAAATTTCCTGTCCAAATGAAAATCTAATCATTAAAAAAAAAAAGCATCCTCGAACAACCCTATCCTCTTCCAAAATGTCGCATAAGTCAACCTGCATACCTATAGGCTCCTAAACTGCAACCTAACTTGGCATACAAATCTATATTCTCTAGGACATGGTTTACAAGTGTAACTTTGCATTTACCAATTACCAAAAGAGCCTTGTATCCCAGAATGAAATCGTACACTAACAAACATATAGAATGGAAAGAATAACAGTTCAAGTAACTGGAGGACGAGCATTTACCTTAACCCCAGCTGGTGTATTACCAGGCTTAGCTGTTGTTGTGCTTCCAAAAACATTAACTCCTCCCGAAGCATTTCCAGGCTTTGCAGGAGTTGCATGCCCAAAGTTAAACTTTGACTTCTTATCGGCAGGTTTTAATATTTGGAATGAGCACATAAGCGTCTCGTCCACACTCATCATTGCACCAGCATTATCAAACTCTCCACAGTAATTAGGTGCAGAAAATATTGTTAGAAGCTGTCTATTGCCAAAGAACTCGTATCCATCCTCCACAACCTGCACCAACCATACAAGTGAAACCAAAGTCAAACGATCAGATAAAGGGGCAGATCGTGAAGAATATCCTCCACAGAGTTCCAAGAACTATATGAAACAGCAAAAGGAGACGCCAAAATTCAACAGGATTTTAGATGTGAAAGAACAGAGGAATTGATTTCAAGAACCCGTCATCACATGAGAACATGAGATGATCCAAGAGCACACAAGGCAATAAAGAAAAGTAAAATGGATGTAAGAAAAAATGAAATGTAGGGGATAACCACCACAAGACCAACAAATACACTCAAGAACTAACACAAGCCGCAAAAACCCAAGATTGATCATACAAGGATAAGGAGAAGCTGATGATGTTTGGTATCCATGGGATTAAAGGGTTAATCACAAGCATGTTAAAACAATATGGAATAACATGGATAACAGAAGTGTGAGTGTAAACCTGATGAGCACGACAGATCAAATCCAAATCATGCTTCTGAAGGAACTCTGCCACCTTATCAGCACCAAAAGTAAACGAAACTCCCCTGTCGTTCATTCCCCAACCTTGAACATCTTTGCTAGGATCAGACCAAAGCAGATCACAGAGCAAACCTGTGTCTGGTACATCAGTAGGCCGAGCTAAGTTTCTGATTTGATCCAAATTATGCAAATCTGGAGAAAGACCACCATGCATGCAGAGAATTTTCTCATCAATTAGAGCAGCCACCGGTAGACAGTTAAAGCAATCTGTGAAAGTCTTCCACAGTCTAACATTAAACCTCCTTTTGCACTCGTCGAAGAAACCATAAATACGGTTAATAGAAGCACATTCATGGTTTCCCCTCAACAGAAAGAAGTTCTCTGGATACTTTATCTTGTACGCAAGTAGAAGACATATTGTCTCCAGACTTTGCTTGCCTCGATCAACATAATCTCCCAAAAACAAGTAGTTTGCATGTGGAGGTAATCCACCATATTCAAACAGCCTTAGAAGATCAGAATATTGACCATGGATATCACCTGCAGATCCAAACAATATCCATCAGGCTGTTTGAAGAGTCTTTTCAGGACTATTGTGATAGAATAAAACAAAGGAAGATGCAAGCACACACAGGTCTTTTTTCCACTTCTTGGCAATAGGATGTGGCATGGTAAGTTGGCAGACATTGGAGGTTAACAGGGCATCATGATAGGGGAATTTTAATCAGATGAAAAGAAATACTTTGCAAGAATATTTAATTGGGCAGACAGTGCAGTTCAGACATCCAATGACTAGAATAACAGACAGGGAATGATGAAGGAATGCAATGAATCAAACACTAATCCCCAGAGGTGATACCATGAGCCTCCAAGGCTGCATCATAACTTTTTCAATCTGCAAGTCGAGGCTTGACAGGGCCAACTAGTAGTAATTAAAGGAACACAAGAGGAGCAGGGTCTCATTAGCACCTGGCATCTAATCCATGAGTTGGAAAATTGACAGCCAAATCAACAAGTCTAATAATGAACTGCATGCTGGTCTAACCAGCAAATGTAACCAGAAAAGAAGAGCTTTACACATGGTTTTAAGGTGGAAATGAACCGCATGTAATAAGAACAAAGCAAAATGAAAAACCAAAAAGTATCGCAAGTCGGATTCATTTTCATATGAGAACAAGATTTAGTAGTAAAAGTACCACAAATCTTGATGGGTGCTTCAAGCTCTAACAAATTGGGTTGTTGCAAGAAGATCTCTCGAGAAGCCCCGCACAGTTGCTTGATTTCTGCCTCCGATAACTGGACCTGCTTTCCAGGTCTACCGCGAACCTCTAAAAGCCGCCGAATAATATCATCCAAAACAGCCGGTTCCATTTTCTAACCATGCAAGTACAACACTTCCACGTTCTATTCTCCTTAAACAAAGAACAGTTCATCATAAGCCAACAGAAAAACCTTCAGAATCCAAAAAATGCTTAAAATTTCCAAAGCTAAGATTGACAGCCACCACAAATATCAACATCCACACTACATGCAACATCTCCGACCAAGTGTTTCAGGGTAACAAGACCAGCGAACTAAATCAAATTGTATCAACATCTTCTCCACTGGCAATACAAAACCGAGTTGAAAAATGTCCAAACACTCACCTTAAGGTATTGCGACTAGATGCACTCCAACCTCCTCAGCAGTAAATGTCAAGACAGACAGGAGCAGTCCTCCAACGGGAAGACTGGAAACCGAGGAGAACGCTGGAAGATTGAAGATCACCAGAAAGAGAAGGTCGAATAGTTAAAACCAGGAAAATCCTCTAAGATATACAAAGAACACCAAGCTGGAGGAGGAGTGACCTTAGGAACAAGAAGGCGGCGGTGGGGATGGAGTTAAGTGCGGGAGTTTCCTCTGGATGGAGCAGCGGCAGCTGGGGCGCCACAACTCCCAAGTCAACGACTCCAGATACAGAGAGAAAGGGAAGGAAGTTGAGCTGGAAGAGATAGGGAGAGAGCCGAGCTTCGAGCAAGAAGAGCGGGAGACGGCAGCGGCGTGAGAGAGGAAGAGAACGGAGCCGGTCGATAAGGGGGAAAAGCAGGTTTCAATCGGATCGATCAAAACGGACGAAGCACGAGAACGACCGTCGATAGTCGTCCTCCGCCGATGAATATGATCGGGAACCTATTATCAATTTCGAGTTCCGATAGCGGTGCGAAGCGGAGGGACGGAGCTTCCTTCCGGTGAGATAGAAGAAGGGGGTGAGAGGGGGAGAGAGACGGATATGGATCCGATTTTTTGTTAGGGTTTCGTTTTTATTCCATTCTCTGTATTCCACACCATTTTCAATTTCAACGTCCAATACCAGCGAATATAATAAATGAATATAAATGAAAATTCGACGGATAAATAATTAAGGGATGATTCTAGTTCTATCTAAGTAGGGGACGAGTGGGAAGAATTGGTGTGGATTCGGCCAATCATTCTGGTTCGATCCGTTACTCACACCGCTCAATTGAGGCTGCAACGGTGCACCTCCACCACACAAATTTAACAAAATACACTTTTGCATCGACAACTTTTGAGTATTATCAATAGTAGCCAAATTTGGAGAAATACATAGAATAGCCAAAGTTTGGATAATTGTTTGACAAATCTAGTCATTTTCCTTACAAAATTTAATGATGTTAGAGATTCCATCATTTAGTTAATGATATGTTGATTAGGATGCCAAATCAATACACACGTCAGCAACAACTCAGCCTCATGCGACTCATAGATACCACGTCATATTTTACTTAAAAAAAATTCATAATAATTCCCCCCTATTCCTCCCTGGCTTCTTCATTCGTCGTCATCTCCTCACAAACCCACCATCAGCGATCTTCTTCATCGAACTTCCCCCCGATTCCTCCCAGAACGAGAATCGATGGCAGGGACAACAAGATTTATTTCCTTTCTTGATTCTTCTTCTCAATGTCCGACGAGGATTAAGGGGAGTGCTTTGCACTCATCCATTCCCTCGCATTGACTCATTCCGCATCCATCTATTCCCCCACACCACCCATCCGACCATCACTCCAGCCCATCTCTTTAATCACTCCAATCAATCAGTCGAGCATCTCTGGGAGTCTGGGTTCCGCCCGAACCCTAGAATTTAGGGAAACATGGTCGAAACTGACAATTTTGACGGTGGCAAACAGGGGAGCGAATGAAACTAACGCAACGAAGTATGCCCTCTCATATGTGGCTACAACTGATGACGACTGCTTTTCAGCTGCGTCGAATTCTGCCGGGAAAGGGGTAGGGGGTGCAGCGACATTGCTTTTTGATGGATTTGGGAAAGTGGAGGAAAAGAAAGACAGAGTATATATTGAGGGGTCGATTCGAGCGGGAATAACCCTTCTTCTCACCTTCACTCGACCAAGAGAGATTGGGTGTGAGTCGTAGCGTACTGGAGCAACGACGGACGGGAGTAACAGTGGTAGTGGATTGTGGTACTAATTGGGGGTGGGTGTTGAGGGAGATAAAGGGAGATGATTGTTGAATCTGATTTTGGTTTAATTTGGCTTATGAGTTGGAGATTTTGGTAGCAGATTAGGGGTTTCGGGGGAAGATGAAGAGAAGGGTAACGTGGAGAAGAGTAAGAATGGCTCTTCAAATAACCCTTTTTTTCACAAATCCATGTTGCATTGCTATTGACAAAATATTGCCAAGTCATCAAAAACTTTAGTCCAATCAACATCTTAAATAACTATGTTAAAGTTTTGGATGGAATTGGACAGTTTTTGAATTTCTCATAAAGTAGCTATTATTGGCAAAAACGTCAAAGTTGTGACTATGCAGTGCATTTTGCCATTTTGTTTCAAGTTCTGTTAGACGTCTCCTTAATCTGGATGGAGTAGAAGAGACTAGAGAGGCTCATGGCCAACAACAGTGAGGAGCAAAAGGAGGACTAGAGTTCCAAGAGGAAAGACGAAGAAGGGAGTTGTAATGCTATTATTAGGAATATGTAACATTAAACACAAAGGTCAAGTTAGCTTCTCTTTGAAGTTTTTTCGTGGAGCTGGAAATTTGGACGAAGGAGAAAGTAGAAGAGTAGAAGATCATTCTCATAAAAAATTTCATTTTTTCATCTTTGTTTTCCCCTCTTCCCTCTGTGCGCTAAACTCACAACACTTGGGTGAGGTGAGGCATAGTCTATGTTTTTTTTTCATATTTGTAATGAAATTTAATGTATGAACCTTGATTTTCTATGAACAGTTGATCTTTTATGTTGCATATCACTTTCCTTGGTCAGGTGTTAAGGTGTTATGGTTTTTGACCTAAGAAGGAGGAATCTAATTAGGTTAAGGCGAACACAAATCAATCGGTGGATGATTGCCAATTGCTAGACCTAGAAAATGATCAATTACTCTTGCACAGGGCTAAGCCCCATTGAATGATGTCTTGTGCGTGCTGGCATGTTTGGTTTGTTTGATTGAGTTGAGGAGATCTCCCACTCAATTGACCAATTCAATAGGTCAATTAGATGCATGAACATGATTTAATATGCTAGATTAATATTGCTTTGCATCATTCGACTTAGGGTGAGTACATTATATCTGTTGTAATTATAATTCCAAGTGAAACTAAAGGGATATCAATCCCAAATGTGCTTCTCCATCTTTGAATACCACATTCACTTGCATTGTTTGCTTGTTTTTAAATATAATTAGTAGTGATTGAAAAACTGACTCGCTAAAACACAACACCAAACTACGACCAAGTGCAATCGTAGTCTGGAAATGCAGTATAGTGAGACAAGTAATAAAAGTCAACCCGGGGCCTAAATGTGCTGCCTACTCCGTGATTATCTATTAGCTAGCGGAAAAGGTTGGGGTAGGTGAATTTAAACTAAAGCAGAAAGAAAGAGGCAAGTTGTTTGGTTTACTTAAGCAAGAGAAGAGCCACTCGGGATTGAGTCCCCCTAGCTCCTCAGTTAGGTTCAAGTTGTAATTCCCTTTGGTTGTTTTACTGTCGATTAGACTGCAGAAGATCCGAAAATATCTTGGAGTCTCTTAAGCTGACCAAGCCCTCTTAGACAGAATACCCGGTAGGCGACTAGCCTTCACCGGTATAGACTATTAAGGCAATACACACACCCATTCCCTCGCATTGACTCATTCCACATCCATCTATTCCCCCACACCCACCCATCCGATCGTCGCTCCAGCCCATCTCTTCAATCACTCCAATCAATCAATCGAGCATCTCTGGGAGTCTGGGTTCCGCCCGAACCCTAGAATTTAGGGAAACATGGTCGAAACTGAAAATTTTGATGGTGGCAACCAGGGGAGCGAATGAAATTAACGCAACGAAGTATGCCCTCTCATATGCGGCTACAACTGATGACGACTGCTTTTCAGCTGCGTCGAATTCTGTCGGGAAAGGGGTAGGGGGTGCAGCGACACTGCTTTTTGATGGATTTGGGAAAGTGGAGGAAAAGAAAGACAGAGGATATATTGAGGGGTCGATTCGAGCGGGAATAACCCTTCTTCTCACCTTCACTCGACCAAGAGAGATTGGGTGTGAGTCATAGCGTACTGGAGCAACAACGGACGGGAGTAACAGTGGCAGTGGATTGTGGTACTAATTGGGGGTGGGCTAGTCAAATAGTATGTTCTGGAACTCTAGGGGGTTGTTCTTCGTCAAGAAGATTGGGGTTTTCTGCTCCTGGGACTGCCAACTCGATTCAGTACTTCCCAAAGCTTCGTCGGACTTCTAATCAAAGTTCTACACCGGTCCGGAGCTTCGAATCATCATCATCTCACTCAAATCGATGAATTCTCGTTTCCCGTCATCATCACTGTTAAAATTCTTTGGGCACTGGAATTCCAATTCGATTTTGGGGTTTTAGATTCCAGGTAGCTTCTCCTTAAATTGGCGCTTTGTACAACTTTCTAGACCCCTTCTCAATGATTCTTCATCATCAGTTTGGGTCGATTCGTGCCCGATCTTCCCAACCAATAACCTCGAAATTTAACCGCGTTTGGGCATTTCCATGGCCAATTGTGCTCGAACTTGATCCATCTATTGGGGTTGAATCGATGCAAAATTATCCATGTGAGAGCTTCCCGGTGATCCATGGAAGGTGCCTTTACTTCTGGTTTGAATCGAATCGCTCCATAAGTCTCCATCCAATTTACCCTCTCATCCCTCTGTCTCGCCGACGACAGAAAAGAGGGGTGCCGGTTTTCCGGTATCGTTAGAAGTCTCTCACGTCGGAGAGCTGTGAGAACAAGCTTCTAAGAGACCAAACTCGCTTACCTGCTCACCGAGTCAAGCGAACTATCCGTTCCCAGGACTCGATTCTCCTCCAGCCGTCTTTGATCGTCGCGAACCTC